TATTTATTTCAGTCAAACGTTTTGCGTTTCAGATGTTTAAAGAGTTCAGCGGGCTTCAGTGACTTAAGGCATTTAATATATGTATAAATATTACTATTTTTCAAGCACTTTGTCGTGTTTGACTAAAAGACAAGAAAATTCCAGAGTAACTTAAATCAGACTTTTTAGCATCAGGATCGTCAAGGACATGCTGTTATTCTTTTATACATTTTAATTTGTCGATAAATCTGATAACACTGTTCAACAAACTTCAAAAAATTTTAGGTGATGGGAATCGGACCAACGGCATTTGATTAAGCTGGTCAAATAATGAAAAAGTACCACAGGATTTGAAAAAGTTGGTTACCATTTATTTTATATCTCAATTTGAAGTTGGAGAAATAAGATGCCAATGAGAACGTATAATTTAAAAACACATTTTCCAAAGTTTACGGAGCGGGAAGGGGAGGGCATCGGAGGAGTTTTTGGCACAGATTAATGGTCAATTGAAATTTTTTTTTATATGTTTATATATGTATATATACATATATGTGTCTAAGTATGCAATTTGTGAGCGATTCCAAAAAACATCATTGTACTTGTTTGTTTTTGAACCTTAATAAATTCACCACTTCAAATCGATATAAAAAGGAAATGGGAACTTACTTTTACAAATGCTTTAGGGCTTATTCATATTTTGACCTCTTTTAATGAATCCAATTGGTGTTCCCATCACTTTTTGAGTGTTGCACTGTGTAACGTTTGGTATAATTCATATGATTATCTACCTTAGGTGTTGCATAGTACAGTGTCCAGTACCTACATACATAATATGCGCCTTTTTCCTCAAATAACGTATACGAGTGTCACTAAAAAATCTTTAGTATACCTAAGAAAGAAACCAATTTTGCTAAATTAGAGGGAAATATTGCAAACTTCGTCTGTTATAGCCTTTTTCTTCAAGTATTTCTCAAAATGTTTAATACAACAATTTTCGTGTTTAAAGCAAAGCAAAACACCATACGAATCAGAAGGGTTTGATCTTTATTAAAATACTTCGTATTATTGTGGCCTTATCGGCTTTTCGGTTCATCTTTTGGAACTTACCAAATTTGACTTTCATTGATTATAAACGCGACAAAAATCAAATAAGCTCCTTAATCCTTTTCGAAATGAAGCATTTCAAATTTCTCTTGCTTCCTATATCAAAATATGAGTTTTCATAAAAACTGGACTTTGCAACTTTTCACTCTAAACTAGCGATTTGTTTCAAACTGATTTTTGAGGGAAAATTTTTTTTTTTTCTTTGAAAGATATATATAGCTGCTTGGTCCTGTGCATATACATTTGTATCTAAGTTACCACCTATTACAATGGGATTAAACTGTCTGGACATGGCGTGCTTGCATTTCTGCAGCGCTTGTATGCAATAATCGGCGCGTGCCTTTTTTCTTTTTCAACAATTTTCAAATAATTTGGCATCCAACGCGCACATAGCTTTCTAACGGCCAAATGTTCATACAATATTGAATGTATGGTAGTAGTCTGAATGCCTAGGGCCGGCACAATGTTACTATCTGTCAAAAAGTTAATCGATGCACTATTTTTGTGTTAATCCACGTCGGAAGTTGCTAAAAAATTTCAAATTTTACCATCATTTTACGAAGATCAGATCGACTCAAATGGCATTAGAACTGCGGATTCTAAAGACTTTTAATTGACCCTCATATATACGCGACACGGCGTTGACATATGTATGTATATCGCTTGCGTATCGGCCGAGCGACACGGTTTGCTATCACACCGCATATGGTGGTATCGCGCGTCGCGTCGCTCTAATGTGCACTGCGCGCATGTCGTGGCGCTTTCATATCGCGTATCGCTCTAATATGCACCGTGCCTAATATTTAGCAAATACTTTATTTATGTGTTAAATTGTTATTAGTATATATATATCAACATACTAATATATTTATATCAAATCACCCTGTCTAGCATTGTGCGTCGATTTCGGTAGAAGCGAATTATTTTAAAAATTACTTATTTTTATTTAAATAAGGTTAAGTAATTACTTTAGCGTACAAAAAGCTGATTTTCCTTTTATTTTGTTTATCCTTTGATTTTACGAGCCTTGCGAAATTGGTTAGCTTTAATATTCGAAATAAATATACTTTTTACAAAGTTCATCAAAACGTTATGTACTTTCTTTAAATATAGCAAAAACTTACATTTTTTAGGAAGTTATTTGTGAATGTAGTCAATACATTTAAATTTCTTTTGTAACCGGATTATTCACGGATTTATAATTTAAAAGTAAGTAAAAATCTTGTCAAAGAAAATGTTCAACTTAAGGTCAGTGCAGGATCTGAGTCGACACATAAAATAGAACGTACATGTCATCCGTTTATTAGCTTGGGGTGCACTGGACCCCGTGTGACCATTGCGGGTTAATCCGCTTATAAATAAGCTTGGCAAAAGCATACTGTCAAAACAATTGCGTCGAAATCAAACAAAATTGATTACCCCAACCACAAATCTAAACTTCAGCATGACGTATACGCCATGGCGGCTACGCACATGCAGTTTTATTTAAATTTCCACCTCTTTAACAAATTTAAGTTATCGATGAACTTCGCATAAATGACAAAACTAAAGGAAAACATGTATTGGTGAGCATCTGCATTGTCAAAGACTGTGGTTTTAATTAAGATAACTAATCTACTGTTAATGCCAAACTAGTTTTTAAATAGTTTACCGAAACTAATTAGCTGAAAACTCGTTAGCCACTTGTTTAGTAAACTTTCTTAATGTGTGTGGGTTTTTTTTTTTTGTAAAAAATTTGGAACAGAGTAAATGTTAATGGGCTTATGTATGTATGTATGTGTATAAAAATTAAGAATAAATTTAGTCAGCGTTAACTAGTCATATTGTAATAATTAAAAATATTTTACTAAATTTGTTAAAGACCTAAACATATTTTAAGTGGTTCTAAAATGTATAATGTTGTTACAATATGATAGGCTGTGACATCACAAATTTTTCCTACACACAGTTTTTAAGTCGACTAGGAACGGGGCAGATGGTTTATTGAAAGCAGGAGTTTGCCGTTGCACCGCTATTGGAAAAATGCATTTTTTTTCAAATGATGTCGCTTGCATCAGGGCTCATCAAAATCATGAGCCTTAAATATGTAGCAAAATTTTTGTTGAGGTAATTTCATCGAGAATAGGCGAATTTTTTCTGGAATTTCGAGCAATTATCCCCAGAAGAGTTGGCATCCCTGCTTTCCAGTTACCAAATTTCAGTGAATAAGACACATTTGCTCTCAGTGAGAAAACATACATGAAATTACGATAATACGGCTTCCCATGGCACCCCAATTACGTAATTCGCTCTCTCATTCCCAATTAGCCTTCGAATTACGTAATTCGCCATACAAAATTTTGAGAGAGAATTACCTCATTTGTTGGTAATTCAGATCGAACTACCATGCGAATGACGAACGAATCGGTGCCTTCTATAAAATTTATCGAAAATGTATCGAAGTTTTCTCCGGCCTGTTCCCATTTGCTGGCACTTTTTCTATTTGCTGGAAAATTAATAAGGAAAATATTCTGTATATAAATTAAAATCTTTGATAATAACTTAAATTTTTGCTCCAAAAATAATAATAAATAGCGGAGAACAAGAACAGGAAGTGGAGCTGCCAAACGAATTACTAATTTGTGTAGTGGAAACAAATTGTGTTCTGAAAAACTGTGTTTGAAGGAAGTTAAATTTTAAAACTTACTTGAGAAAATGGCCCTAAGTAATTGAAAAATGTAATCGAAAAATTTTCGAACGTACCTACTTTGTATGGAAGAAAATCCCTGACACAGTTAGCAAAATAAATCGTCAAAGATCAGCGGGGCTTTTACCACTTCGAAATTTGTACGTTACTATATTAAATAAATTTATTGCGATACAAAACTGCATACGAAATTTTTATTAAAAATTGAAATTTTAGTTAAATTTTGCAAAACTTTTAAAAATTTTGCACAGTCTTAAATTTGAATTTATATGGTTTTTTTTATAAAAAAATAATAAACATTAAACAAACAAAAGAATAAGAGAATAATTTTTCCGGCACTATACTTATGTATGTACATAATTCATAACATCGTAAAAGCCGTAGTGCAATCATACAATAACACCACAATATGGATGCCAAAAAGTGAAGTCAAGCAACTGAAATCACCTTCTTTTATTGCACCATGGTACGGTTAAGCTTTTTAAATGAAGTAAAAAGCTTTATTCTAGTGTTAAGATTGAAATGCGCTTTAATGTCTTAGCAATAGTGAACTCCCAGTAAAATGCAATGCAAAGACACAAAGCGTTTTGCCTCAAACTTAATTTTTTGCTAACTATCTAATATTGGAAATTAATGACTTCCAAGGTGTATCTACAACTGAAACTACTTTTGAAAATTAATTTCAACTTGCAAATACTCCACTAACGCTTTAAATTTTTGATGAAAGTGCAGCCAAACCAATCGAGTTGTGCCGTGACTTCACTGCATAATGTGACTAATTTCACAATTAATTTTCTTCTAATTCTTGAATCTGGCAGACTTTTCGGAATTACTTACATTGCCACGCTGACAGTACTTTTACACTTGAACTACAATACATTATCAGTTTGATGCAAAGAACAATCATTATATACATATGTATGTATGACATGTTTGTAGAAATTTATATTTTCTTCAAAAGTTGTTGCATTTTTATAATGGCTTTACTATCTTTTACAATTTTTGGTTGATTTAAATTTTTAATTATCCCATTGCATTGCTTGCTATAATACTGTTGGTAAATAAATATCACTCAAAATACAATATTTTAGATGGTAAATGTGTATGCATTAATACATTATTTTTGTCTCTAAAAAAAATTAATATTTTAACGGTTCTTTTGCGCTATTAATTACAGGGAATTTCATTTTCACTGTGCTCGAAAATCATTTAACCTTTGCGGCTTTGTAAGCACAAAATGTGGCCAGCACACCTAGCCCCGCATTGAGGGCACGCACTGGTTTACTAGCACCCGACAAGGCGCGCATGCCCAATGGCAGTCCTTTGCCACAATGCGTGCGAAAGCCATTGAAGAGGTACATATTATTAGTATTGGCATTCAAGATGGCAAACTCCTTCTTCGCTCCCTTGGACACCAAGCGAAAAGTGATGCGCTTAGCTTTGAGCGGCGTCACGCGGTAGTTGAATGTATGGAATTTGCATTTCTGCGAACTATCACCGCCCTTGGGTTGACAACATGGTGTTGGTGCTTTGTAGTAGCCAGGCTTCTTGCCACATGCGCTGTCCGACTTACCGCCGCCTTTGCCGCCCTTACTTTTACCATCTTTGCTGGCCGGTTTCATCCTGTAAGTAGTGAGAGTCGCTTCAATTACACAACAGGTGCATGTAAATATGTATGAGTCAAATTAAACACAAACAATGCTGAAAAAATAAACTACACTTACTTGTGCAAATACAGTAATAGCTCAGTTATGCATATATATACTTGGCGTAGCATGGGAGTTGCCACATCTGTCTGAATCTGTTAAATGAGTTTTGCGTGTAAGCGATTACCCAATGCATAGCACACTTCACATGTAGAAGTCTGATGGGTTTTGATTTTTACATAAAAATGGTAAATAGCAGTGCAAAGTATGCAAAACTGGCCTATTTATTAAGCTATGACTGACTATTTAAAAGCGTGCGTGTGTGCCAGTGTTTGATGTTTGATGGGAGGATGGGAGGATGGATGCTTGAGTGCGTGTAGTCGCATTCTGCATGCCAATTCGCTTTGTGATTTTCTGCATGGCTGATTGCCGCTTAACCGTTGGTGACTTACATAATGGTTGAGGGCTTACATAATGGTTGGTGGCATTTGTGCGCCTAATTGCAGCTCTGACAACTAAGACGTTTCACTTACTCAAAAATTTCTGCAATGCTTATACCACGAAATTAATTTCTTTATCGCTTTAGTGTCCGCCTTCCGTCGGCAAATGGTAGTAATTCGCGTAAGAAATGCCATAATTTACTAATCTCACAGATGCGCAGTTTGCTACGAGTCTAGATCTGAAAAGCATCCATATGTCAATAGTAGTAGCTATGTTTTTTTTTTGTAATTGTACCAGGTAGTAAATTTAGCTGTCTCCTTCCTTTCGCAGAACATATTTATATTTGTGTTATACTCATACTAGGTCAAGCAGTATCATCCATTGATTATTCTTCGCTAAGTCTGGTCAAATATACTCTTGATTGTCGCCTAAGCAAGCGGGCATCATTGTTGTACCACAGATATTTCGTACCAGTTTGAAGGCGATCTCGTCTTAGGTGGATTAGTACTTAGTCTTAAGTAGTCATGGTAGAGACAGCAGCCCAGTAGGAAAAGTAGTAATGCGTTATAAATAATGTAATGCATTTCTTATGAATTCTAGATTCGATAACTGTTTAATATGTAATCAGCATTCTTATGTAATCAAAAAGTCGCAAAAAATGCATATTTAAACACATCCATTTCTCGTTTCTAGGTAATGCAAAATTGAATGCCCCACTTTTCTTAGGACATCGCCCTGGGAAAAAAAAGCATTTTCGAATGTGAAAAGGGTTGATTTACTAATTATTTTTTCGATTACTATACATTACATTTTCCCACTGGGTGTATATACTACCCTGCCCACCTTTAGTTCATACACTTTGAAATATTTCTGCTTCACGATTGTATGAACGAAATGTGTGGAGTGTATGAACTAAAGGTGGGTAGGGTACGCATTTACATAAGGCTGCATCACCCTTGCGGTCTCCCCACCAGAATTATAAAATTTATTATTAATATTAACATTTACGTGAGCTAGACCGATTTCAAAATAACTGCAAAAATCTCATCTGAGGTGATTATTTAGAAAAAAGTTTTAAAAACTATTTTCATTCAAAAAAAAATTGGGAGTATTTTCAAATCTATTAAGCTCACGTAAATCTGAATATTTTCCCGAAATATTTTGGCACAAGCCTTAAAATAAAATCGATTTTATATTTCCAATGGAAAAACGGTACCCTTTTTTTAGAGTGATGCACCCTAATATGCATACATACATATACACATTCGGAGTAGCATTTTCGCTTTGCTATTTTGTCAGCAACGTCACATGCGGTTGATTCACATAATTGCTTAAATTTTTTGCATCTCTGCTTTTTTCTTAATTGCCTAAGCGTGTATTTAAACACAAATTTATGGAATTATATCACCGAATTTTGTGATAAGCACATCATAACGCATGTAAATAATTTTTTTAATGCAATTTGAGGCAACGAATTAATGTTTCTTTGTGCTTGTGCTTCGTTGCAGCATCTTCTATATACGACAACCCAGCCGAATGGCATCTCGACTATCCGGATTGCGGTGGGAAAAAGCAGTCACCGATTCTTATCAACACGAATAAGGTGGGTATTACTCTAAGACAGTATGTATAATAAACCCTTCCTGTATCATTAAAAAAAAACAACCGTAGCCACCGCGACAATGTTAAACTTTTAAAAATAATGCAACGAATTCAAATTATATTGTTATTACAGCTGGAAATTTTATAGTCTGGACACACTATCGTATATTTAAGATACATTTTTAATTGATGAGCAAATGATGGGGCTAAACTTTTGCTGTATTCCCACTTCACTAAAATCTGAGTTTTCGCGAAATCTTTGAAATCCAGCGGAATTTCCCATATATTTTCATGATTTCAATCAGATTTTAACGAAATCTTATCGACATCTGCTCGCCAATTAAAAAAAATTTTATTTAGGCGCCACTATTGAGGAAGGTTCCTAAAAGAATGCCACAATTTTTGTTATGAAATCAAGTAAACCCTTATATCTACGTGCTACCTTTATCAAATCAAGAAAAAAAAACGATTCTTCATTTAATTTGGGCGCTACTGTTGAGGAAATTTATAAAAGTGCCTAAAAATACGCAACCAGTTTTGGGTCCCGCCACGCGAATCCCCTCCCAATGAAAAATTCTTTCATAACGACCACAGCAAACGTTTAAAGGACCGCGATTTGAGGGCATGCACCTTGAGTGTGGGGACCCTTAATGGGGAAGCTGCCTCTGCCCGGCTGGTTGATGTCCTTGCGAAGACTTGCATTTGTGGACGGAAGAGAAGGACGAGGCGCCCAAGGATCTCTTCTATAAGCGCTTGGAGCGCATAAACGACGCAAAGTTGGCAAGGGAAATTAAGCCTCCACAACGAAACTTCCGATAACGAACTGAGGCTGTTCGATTTTGCTGTGCCCTAAACATGGTAGTAGGCAGTGCTAAGTTCCAGCATAAAAAGATTTACCAAGCTAAAAACATGGCTGTCACCAAATCGAAAAACAAGAAACAAAAATCGGGCATGTTATGATAGACGGTGGGCATTGAAAACGTGGACTAATTCTGTTTACTTGGTCTTCCAATAATATTATTGTTTTTAGAATAAGTGTGCATAAATTATATTTTTTTCTGTTAAGGAATAAAGTGGTTTCTATTAAAAAGACCTTAGCTTTTCTTTTTTTTGCCTTTGGCATATTGGCCTTTTTTCTCTTAATATGTTATTTAACCTATTTCACAAAGTTTAAATAATGAAAATTAAGTTTATGGAAATCGTAGTGTTAGTAATGTTTAAATATTTCGAATTTCTACTAGGCATTGAAATGATAAAATCTTTGTGACATTTGAAAAATTGTATAAGGAAATAGATTTAATGACTACTATTTTCAAAATAATGACACGCATATTTTTGAGTCCCGATTTTTTCATCCAAATTTCTGTCGTTTAAGGGCTGTTTGCAGCTCACAACAAAAAAAAAAACGAAAAATTCGTATGAAATGACGCACAAGAAATGGAAAATAAATTTTCTTCTACCAAAATTTCTTAAATCAGTTTGCAGCTCTCACTAAAAAAAATGGTGCTTATCGCTAGCTTAGAGTGAAAAGTTGCTAACTTCGCTTTTAATGAAAAATCATATTTTGAGACAATTGGCTAGATGAATTAAAAAAGGGTAAAGGTTCTCATTTTTTGTATTACATGTCTCGTTTATATTCAATGAAAGGAAGGATGCTAAGTCCAAAAAAATCTCCGAAAATTCGATAAGCCAAATAGTTCGAAATCTTTCTTTTAGTAAAGATCGAATCCCTCTGATTCGTATGGAGTTTTGCTTTGCTTTAAACAGGCAAAATATTGTATTCAAAGTTTTGCGAAATACTCCCCTTTACAATTTTTAAATTGGGACTTAGCAACTTTGCACGCTAAGCTAGCGATATTTATTTCTTTAAGAAAATTTACAACAAAAGCAAAGTACTTTTTCAACTAACAGAAATAATGAAAAATTTTTCTTGTGATTTTTTTTGAGAGCTGCATACAGACCTTTAATGCCGACTTTTTAAAAATTTGTATTTTGAGTTAAGGCCTTTCTACATTTCATTACTGTACTTGAAACATTTTACAGACGATACCGATTAAGATTCCGCCTATTACATTTGGAGCCTATGGTGTTTCCCTTTCCGATTATGTTGTCTTGGAGAACACTGGATCCACAAGTGAGTCTAAATGCCCTGCATTAAAAACTACTGGTTATTTGCTATTTATTTCTATAACTGCTACAAAACTACATACATTTACATATTCTTTTAAAGAAACATAACTCTTTTCTGAACATTTGCATTCTTTTTGCCAGTTAAATTCAATATACCCCCAACGATAGAAGGCGGTTTTCCATTCATTAGCAATGGCTCACTAAACGGTGTCTACGAAGCTTTAGAAGTGCACTTTCATTGGGGTTCACCGCTGTCCAAAGGCTCCGACCATCGAATCAATCAGAAACGTTATGATCTCGAAATGCATATTGTCCACAAAAACACCAAATACGCCAGCATGGAAGAAGCGATTGCATTCGAGGATGGCATATCCGTAATAGCCGTGCTCTTCAAAGTCGACAAGGTATTTAACAAGTAACTTCACTTCGAATTTTTCAATGCAATTGCGCCTCTAATATTTTTGTAGCTCGCACTTGATATTTTTTCTCCTGGCCTAAACACAATCTTCAACTCAGTTCCATTTGTTGCACTTTATGAATCGACCGTAGCTACACAACGACTAATTCCACTTGGCTCACTACTGGGAAATATCAATCGTAACCATTTTTATACTTATCAAGGTTCACTGACAACACCGCCATGCTCCGAGGCCGTCACATGGATAGTTTATCCCGAGGTCTTACCGATTTCGGTTTTGCATGTGCGTGAGAGATACATCCATATTTTAATTAAAAAAAAAAAATGCTACAATTCTATTCTATTTTGCAGTTGAATAATTTTTGGCTGGCACGTGATAAGTTTAATCACAAGCTGTGGAACACATTTAGACCGTTACAACCTATAGGTGAACGCAAGGTCTACTATCGGTATTAATGGGAGCAGTTTTAACGAATAAAAGAAGTATGGGCAATCTCAAATTAATCTTTTAGAAACATAAATTTATTGTTAAGAAATGCAATTTTTTGCAGTAAGATAATTATTAGTAATAGATATCAAAGAAATCTTTATATAAAAATAATTTTTTATGCAAAAACATATAAGGCTAGTAACATATAGAGGCAAAGCTGAAATTAAAGTAGTTAAATTTTTTACAATTTTTTGTATGCAAATTGGATTTTAATAAAGCATTTTTAATTACTTAGATACTTACATTATTATGTTACATTTTTTTAGCATGCCAGTCATAGCGTTCATATCTCGGCCTATGTTGAATATCGTCATAGTCAGTTGAAGTAACGGTACGGCCAGTTGTTAGCCATTTACTGATGTGATCGTCGACGAACAAGAGGACGATATTCAGCATAGGGCCGATTATTTTATTTTATAAGCCTGTAATTATATATTTTTCTACATTTCATTTGAAATAGTTAGCAAAAACGGATTAAAAGTAGTAAATAATTAGTACCTTTTCTACTATTTTAAAATGCGTGACCGAAATAGACCTGCCGAGAAAGTGAGGTTAAGTTACTGACAGCACCTTGTTATTATTACACCATGATGCGCATACACACATCGCTTAGTCCCAAAGGCTATTCCAAACTTTCTGCAGACTTCAGGATTACACGAACTGTAATGCGGAGTAGAGCGCACAACAGATCGCAGATAGTTCGCAGTCCTTACCTCTTTTCACTATCATTCTATCTAGGTTTGAAACGGCGGGATTGCTTATTGACAGTCTTCCAACAACCCGTGTGGCATATTTTTGGGCGTTCGCTTTTGTCCATAAAAAATTAAATCGAGCTGTCTCAAAGACCGATAGTATTTAAATTAAAAAAGGCTCGCCCCTTGTTCGCAAATGCATGCTGCCGCATCACTGCAAGTAAATAAACCTCATTTATTCATAAACTATGGTTCATAATTAGCAATGACTGATTTTTGCAACTAAGTTTCAATTAGGCATTTAACTGTATTTTTCGCATGCCGGACCTTTCCATCAATTATAGCTTAGAATTAAGAGAGACTGTTATTTAGCAGTATTGCGGCAGTGTGGTCGCAGTGTTGTAAGATTATTTCCCTCCCTTAATTTTTTTTTTGTTTTAATAAAAGTCAGCGATTTCTGGTTGTCAGCGTATTACGACAGAAATTTTGTTTTTAATTTTTTTCGAAATTATTTTTATTTTCCTTTTTTTAATCTTAATCCTCATGTGTGCTATCAAATGATATATGTACATACATACATATACATACCAATTAACCATCAGTTGGCTTATGTAAGTGCATTTATACACATTTTTATTTATTTACAATTTGGTATTTCATTTTTTTCTTTACTAATTATGAGTTTTTTTTGGGAGAAACAACAAGCTCCTAATGGTAGTCCTACTTAGTTGCTAAAACTTTAGGTACTCATTAGGTATTCATTCAAAAAATATCCACATGTGTCGTTAAATGTTTTTTTTTTGTTATTTTAACAGGATATGTGCAAAGAGACAGCCTGACGTTCTACATGTGTAGGTATGTAAATATGTTAGTGCATATGTTTAAGCTGCGATTGTGCGAACTCATCGATCTATCTTATAGCCAAAAATACCTGCACTCGTAAATTACCGTTACTTAACTATTTACCCATCAGATTACAAGCTCACTGTCGTCGTTAATATTCTCAAAACAAAATCAAAAGCTCTTTTTATTTAAATTGTGTCTTGGTGCGCACTGAGTTACTGGCCTTTTCACCTCTTTGTGGTTAGTAACAAACTCTCAATCAAAGTTTACATCGTTGCAGCTTCAATGAACGAGGTACTTTATACAAAGCTTTCAGTTTGGTGGTATGGCTTTAAAATGAATAGCCATACATACATATAAATACATATCTATGTACATACATATGTACATATGTACCAACTTTTAAAATAACTGGAGTTGTTTTAAAATTTTCCTATTTCACTAATTTTATTTGTGACTTGATTAAAAGTGTGGTGTCATGTTTTGTCTTTTCTTCTTTGGTTTTAGATATTTTTTTGCACGTTTGTCATTTTGCGTTTCTCGATAGATGGTGGTAGGTCTTATTGAGTATGCAATTTTATACTATTATATGCATATATGTATGTGTTTGCTAACATGCGTATTTTTTCTTTACAGCTTACATACTTATTTATTTAGAGCTCTTGCCTGTGAAATAGAAGAAGATATAAGAAGAAAGAGAAATAATTGAGCATAACCACTTTTATAAATTTAGTGTTTTAACAAATCGGGTGATAAGCATGCCAATCGGGAAGGTAGAACCAATCTGGAGTCAGCCGAATTGCACATTTAGACATACATACGTTTAATGTCGTTGTAGCAGCATTAAATTGCAAACCATATCCAAAAATCGATTTTTTTTCTTTCGTTTCGTTCTCTTTTGTGTTTTTTTGTTTGTGTCTATCAAAATTTTAAGCATTAAAGCAGAGTACATCTAATGGAAAAGCACCCAGCTGGAGAATACCAAAGAAAAGGGAATGCGCGGATTGTAGATACCTAGTTGAGTGTGTGTGTGTTTAGTCAATAACATCGAGAAGCTGGAATATACTCATAATTTGTATTGTATGAACTTGAAAAAAAATATATGGATTACAAATGATTTTATATTATGTACACATAAAGGTGTGAAAATTGCCAATGTGGGTTGTATGAATCAACATTATCCTAGTAGTTGCTTAACTCGTATTTATATAATATATAATGCTACAACGTAAAGAAAATCTTACGAAAATTTAATATCCTTATACTATGACAAGAAAATGCGCAACAACGTCCACAAAAAAAAATCTAAAATATCAACGCTAATTTTTTTTTGGTTACCCGAAAATTTTCTAAACATTTTGATTAAAAATTTTATGGCAATTTTTTTTTTAATTTGATACATTTCTTTTTTTTTGAAATTTGTGCAAACTTTAAAGCTTTTATTTATCATTTTGAATTTTGGTGCTAATTCATTGACCGCAGCTGTATATATGGCGAGATTCTCTTTATCACGCTGTTCCAGAAGAATGCTTAAATAATTCTAACTTACTTTCAATACACACACGGGTGAATTTCCTTAAATTGAAAAAAAAACCCTAGCAAACATCGACAGTTTAGCATTTTAGACTTGTCAAATACTGTGGAGCAATCACATTTGTGCATACGGGTATTATAACTTTGTTTATAGTTATTTATAAAACAAAAAAACCCTTACAGAAACTAAATAGAAAGCGAAATCATTTAGGCTATGTTTATCCTTTTTATACTCGTCCCTTCGTCTGGATAATATTAAAAATGGCCTCAAGCGGGTAATAACCACAATCAGTTGTAATATTTCAGTAACTTCTATAGCCAAATTGTTAAACACTTATACATACTAGGCAGTTCTTTTATTAAAAAAATTTATTATATTAAAAAAATTCTTAACTCGGCGTAGCTCCGCTCAATTATCTCATTACGAATCAAAATGATAACCGACTCAAATGGATGACCGACCTAATGCAATGATATGAAATGCATGACTTTGATTTCATTTTTCAAAACCATTCCTATTTATTATCAACAATTTTGTTATAAATCTTTTTTTATTAATATAACAAATACATAATTAAACATTGACCACAATAGTTATTTATAGATATTTACAAATATGCCTCAGATACATACAAAATATATACAACTTGAATTAACTTATGATATACAAATATATGAATGTAAAATCTCTCGACACGCTTGATGATGATGGCTTTTAATCGCAATCATGGTAATTTTTCTGCTTCTAAATACTTACATATACCGGAGTGCTTGAGTTCGGCATACGTACGTGATCGTGAAACTGTTCAGGGTGATTGTTTTGATGAGCGAAAAGGTTAGCTTAGAATTGAAGTGCGACTCTCTAATGATTTCAATTTGTATGTTTTTTTGTTTTGTTTTTATCGATGTATGTATGTATGTAAGGCATAACGTATTAAGAGAACACACATAAATTAATGTTATGCGCTCTTAAACTTATGCATGTATATTCCATTTATATCTTTTCCCGAAAATCCAATTAGGCGCGATTTGTATGTTTTATGGCAAATGGTGTAGAAAATTACAACTTCGGTTGCACAACAATAATGGGCTCATCCCTAAGAGAAATGGAAAATGTGGAAAATTGTTTTTAGTGTTAAAATGCGTGAAGAGAAACATATGCAATTGAGTGCCAAGAGTGGTTAATGATTATTGGTTAATAATGCTTGGGATAGTTAAGTTTTTGATAGAGGAAACATAAAAGTTCGCTGACGCATGCACATACATATACATGATTTTAGAGCGGAAATATATTCGTTGGATGATATCTGCAATAAAAATGATAATAATTATAACTGTACGCCAATAGCTAAGGCAAACAAAGCGAAAAAGGTTATGCACAAAATTTTTAAAAATAAATACAAACCGTTTGATAAAAAGCAAGTGAAGGCATGATAATTTGGAAACACACTTTTCACCACTCAACCTCAATGAATTTGAGTTTTCAATATCTTATTCATCACTTTGTTTAAATACTGTTAGAAATAAGAAGCCTGAACTAAGGAATGCTGTCCAACAAAGGCTTAAAATATACATATAAGTAACTACCAGATATACATATGTAAATGAAAAAGAAAACAGCCCGTAGTTGCTGGCCATTTATGAAGTGTTTTCCTATGACCCCTACAGAGGGTAAATGCAGCGAAACGTTGTTTTAACCGTTGAATATTAATACATATAAAGGGGATTTAGAAATTTCATCATTCGCCACCACCAACTATCATGCGTGATTAACCGCACAGCCTATTTGACTGTCGTAACAAAAAAAAAAAAAAAAATTTGAGACAATTTTCTACAAATTGTGTGCAATGTTAGTAAGAAAATAAGGGGTGGTGCGGCAAATTTTGCTTTTAGAATAAAATAAAATACTTTGGTGTCGAACAGAAGTGT